CTGTTGGGTTATTTTTGGATTTATAAATTTTATCAACAGAATGCTCTTGAGATTTCCTGATTTGGGAGATATTTAGGTAAACTTGTTAATTGAATTAGCAAATACTTCACCTGTTGTTTAGGGTCCATTAAACTCTAACTTCTGTCAACTCGTGATTTTTTTTGAGCAACCACTAATCAATTTCATCGGTGCGCATTTATCCTCACACCTGACCTGGTGGACCCAATTATTTCCGACTTCTCAGTAGGACTCCAGGCAATTTCTTCCTTTAGCCAGTCCCCAGTGTGAGCATTAGATTAATTTTCTACAGAAGATATACTTATTTGCCTAGTGTTGTAGGTTTTCTTAGTTTGTTGTTTTTAGACACGTCACACTAGTTACTAGTGTCCAATCAAACTACAGGAGGTCAGTCGCGAGCCCGAATAGCTCAGTGGTAACGTCTCTGACTGCAGCACTGGGTGACGCGGGTTCGCATCTCAGAAGGGTTGCAGACGCGCCTTGCTGACCAGTGAGTACCAACTAGCACGAAACCTAGATCCAAGGTTTCCTGCCGATTGCCTCTAACTATCTAATATCATCAAGTTGTTTTAGCCTGTCACAGAATATTTCACAGTAATTCTTCATGAATCAACATCAGACACAGAACTAGTGGAAACTATTAATCAGTGATACATTAATGCGTAATTAGTGACCACAGGAATATTAGTTTGCAAAATTTGTCGTCTGGCGTTTAGCTATTCAGCTAGAATCAATTAGCCCATAATTTATAACTTCTACAGACTTAGATTACAGTCTAGTGGTCATTCAGTGTCGTCAGTAGGTGACTGTTTTCATGCAAGACTTCTTCGAATCCAGTCTTCATAATTCATAGTAATTTTAAGTGAATCATCTGGAAACAAATTACCAATGATGTTCTCCAGTTTTATTCAATACTTCTTTTATTGATGTCAGCCACTTGCATAACTTCCACTAACTTGTATTGAGTGTTGGTTTTCAGGGATTTGATTGGTAACAGGATTGATCACGAGCTAATATCAGTTAGAGAACCGCTGGTAAACATACAGGGAGTACAGGATAACTGTTTTGCCAACCTAGTTTGGGACTCTTCATCGGTAGTCACCCAAAGGGGTTCGAACCCAGGACCTTCCAGTTACGAGGAGAGTTCATAGAACATTAAGCCACTGAAACCCGACCCAGTGGTCCACCACGAGCTGACATCAGATAGGAAACCATTCCAAAACCTGCAAGTGCTAGACGGCTGTGATCAATTCTGTAACCAATCGAATCCCCTCAAACCAACACTTGAATATCAATGAGATGCTCACTAGCGACTGGCCCTATTCAGCAAGTACCTGGAGTTCTAGTGAGAAGTCGTAACCAGTGGGGTCTACCAGAAAAATATATATCACAAATTGGCAGAAGTTGGAATTCATGAACCCTTGGATAGTGTCCCTGCGGCTTAATGGTCTACGGGCTCGCCTGGTCCATGGAAGGTTCTGGGTTCGAACCCCGGTGGAGTTCGTATCCATGAAGAGTCTCAAAATAGGACAAAACAATTGCCGAATAACAAACCTATTTCTAAGCTCAGTTTCCGTGCAATACTTATCAGCAGGTCAAAAATACCCTTTTTCTCATCACATCACAAATTCTATACATTATACATCAAAACATATCAAGTTAAATCTGATGGTAAATTACTTTTTACGTGTTTTCTGAATGGCCGATTCTAAACTCATAAAAACTGATGGATGTCAATTTTCAGTTGTTTTTTTTTTACAAAAAAAATTCCTATTTTTGAAATATCCTGTGAAAGTGAAGACTTTTTAAAGGGATAAAAAGGCACCAACGAATTCAGTTTATTATATTTAACAAACTGAGGAAAAGAATTGTGTTTGTTTATTAGGCAAATTTCAATATTAGTGGGAAAATGAATTTTTAAGAAAAAACTAATTAATCTTCAATGTGTTGAAAAGGTGTATACATGTCAATGGGGAAACAGAAACAGGAATAAGTCATAAAACAGTCGACTTGGAAAAAATGTATGTTCCTACTTTCAATAGTTTGATATTTACTATGAGGATATTTCAGATCGTGAGATATTTGATTCCTTACATTGAATTATTTCCAAATAGTAAAGAAGAAGGTGATGATGATGACAGTTGACTGTCAAAGTAGTCAGCTTAGAAACAATTTAATCCAAATTAAATCACACTATAGTCACTGTCCCTTGTTACTTTTTAAAGACAAAATTAAGCGTGTTTTAGAAGTGATATGAGAAAATAAGTTTTCAAGTATTGGTTTTGTAGGGATTGTGTGTTTGATTGGTTGGAGGATTTCATCATGAGATGACATCGGTAACAGAACCATTGGAATACTCGGAAGTAATGTGCAGCTGTTTTTTCCCAGTTTGGGACTCTTCGCCAGAATGCACCCATCACAGGAGGTTCGGACTCAGGACCTTCCGGTTACAAGGCGAGTGAGCTCGTAGACCATTCATAGCAATTGGGACCCACCGATCCAATGGCCAACCCATGAATTCTAGTCTCTGCCAATTCATGACATAGCGCGACCACTTCTCAATGTCTTCGTTGATGAGTTATTGCCTCACCTTCGACCTGATGTACCCTAGTGGCCACGACTTCCTACTAGAACCCCAGGGAACTGCGTGAATAGGGCCAGTTGCTAGTGAGCACTGTGATGAAATCCTGTAACCAATCAATCAAATCCCTGCAAAACCAATACTTGAGAATTGATCTGATTCTCACTAGCGGCTGGCCCTGTTCAGGCAGTTGCCTGGGGTTCTAGTGGGAAGTCGTGATCAGTAGGGTACATCAGGTCAAAGGTGAGGTAGTAACTCATCGAAGAAGACATTGTGAAGTGGTCACGCTACGTTATGAATTGGCAGAGGCTAGAATTCATGGGCTGGCCATTGGGTCGGTGGGTTCCAGTGGCTCTGAATGGTCTACGAGCTCACTCACCTTATAACCGGAAGATTCTTGGTTCAAACCTCCTGTGATGGGTGCATTCTGGCGAAGAGTCCCAAAATGGGACAAAACAGCTGCACATTACTTCCGGGTATTCCAATCGTTCTGTAACTGATGTTAGCTTGTGATCAAACTGGACACAAATCAGATTCCTACAAAATAACTCTTGGAAGCTAATATCTTTGTTAAATTGCTTAAAAGGATTATATTTATCGCAAGTTAATGGTGGAATCTGAGACATTCGGTTTTGCTTATGGTTAATTATTATTATTTAATTATATCCACTTTCGAATGTTTCGACTTTTCAACAGAAATTCATACTAGTTCTTAATAACACAATGTAAAACATACAGGATTCTGAGAAACGACTCAAATGTACTTAGGACTTTCCTGTTTTTATTTTTAAAAGAGATCTTTTGTTGAACACTAACTAGGGTCATGTGTCTAGTCCTTTGTTTGCTGCAGACTGAATTCTAACAGCCAATTCTGTAATGCAGCCACCATGGTAAGTGGCTCACCATCACGGTGCAGTCTAAATTGTTTTATGAGATGGTTAGAGGAAATCGGAAGGAAACCGTGCTTGAACTAGGTTTCGTGCTTCTTGGCACTCACCAGTCAACTAAGTGTATCTGCAACCTTGAAGGAACTCATCTCCCTTCTGTGGTTGGAACCCACATCACCCAGTGATGCAGTCAGTCAGAGACGTTACCACTGAGCTATTCAGGTTCGCGACTGAACTCCTGTAGGACTGTACTAGGTATTTTTAATTGCACACTAACTAGTGTCAAGCTTTTAGTCCTTAGTCTGCTGCAGATTGCCTCCAACCATCTGATAAGAGCGATCTTTAATGATTCATTTCCATGCACTTAAAAACTCATATGAGATTTTTTTAATACATTTATTCCCCTTTATCAATTTGAATAAAGCAAGAACAACAGTTTTTGCAGAATAATATGGTACTGTCATTTATTTCGTTGGCTTCTCATCAGCAGCTTACAGCCTAAAAAATCATAGTTTCATTCACAGAAAGGTTTTAACATGATGTCAGTTGACAGGAGGTTCCACAATTAGTGAACAGTGCTCAGAAAATTACGCTTATATAGTTTTTGCACAGGGAGTTCAAGTTTAAACAAAGTAAATGTTTGCATACAATGGTAAAGGAGCTACGCAACAAAGACGTGAGATGTGTAGGATGATGAGTAACTAATAAATGGGGTGATAATGTACTGAGTTCAACTCAAATGATAGAAACAAGAGACAAGAAAACTTTCACTATATCAAAGGGGTTGAGGTTAAGGCCAAAGATTACGTAATTAAAATGGTAGAGAGGATAAATACATTCACTTGTCAGGATGGGCAAGGAAACACCGATAACTGCTCCTTTCTGAAAACTTGAATTGGATTCCAGGCGTCTGATAGAGATTGCTTCGATAAACTTCAGAAGAGTTGAACTTCTTTTATCTTTTAATAATTTTAAAGGATTTTGCGATTTCTACCTCATAACCCGAATGAAGGAGATGCCTGGCAGTGGCAATATTGTGAGCATTTGTTCCCTTCAGATGTAGGCTAATCGGTACATGTCCAGAAAATTGGAGGTATGACCCTCTTTCTCTTCTCCCAACGTAACTGCTCCCGCCGATACACGTAAATCTGTATACACAGTTTGAGTTAACATGAGAAGGATATCTGTTGACTTTTGACTGCGCTGAAATAAAGGCAGCTTTGGGTGGCATCATGAAATCATTAGTAGTAAAATGCGTTGTGCTTATGGTTACCAAGTAAGACATTTGATTGACTAAAAGTTTTATTTTCTATACTTTTTCCTTTAAAGAGCAAATTCACATGACTGTTAACATACTCTGATGAGTTAGCAAGTATCATCATGAGTTTCATGTATACGAGTAAAAGTCCATCTATTAAAAAAATAAAATCGGAATATTTTGAGATTTTCAGTGATCGATTTAATTATAAAGTGTGCATTTATTTTTTATTTTTCCAAAAAATATCCCCTTTTAGGTTTGGTTTCAAAATCGTCGTAGCAAAGAACGACGTATGAAACAACTGAATGCGCTTGGAACACGCAGATCATTCTACAGGAATCCTAGACGACTGCGTGGAATAAGATCAGGTATACTACCCAATGATTTCAGCTCAGGAGGGCCAGTTGACTTGATGAACAATCCAGCTTATCATGAGTATTTAGTTGGATCTAGTCCAGTAAGTATTATTTATTTATACTGAGATAAAATTATTTTATTGCTTTACACTGTCACATACCTTCATCAAATGAACACGAGGGGTTGTTATATGTGGAGAGAAATGAAGAAATTTAATCGGTCGTAGCTAAGGGACAAACATAGTTTTGTCAAAAAAAGAAACAACAACAAAAAACAACTATGAAACCGGATCTTTAAACAGGTTTATTTCTTCTGACTTAATTTTTGACCGTCATTAAATGTCAGATTGCATGAGTGAAATTTTCAACAATTCACAGTTCACAAAAGTCAACCTTACTAGTAAGCGGTGGAAAATACTTTTCAAAAGCATGAAAACTTTCTAATTAAGTTATTTTTTTGTTGTTGTTGTGGAAACCATTGTCATTTATGACAGTTTTGTCTCTTAGACGATGGATGTGAAATGGAATACAAGATAACCATCTTTAGGATTAGCTATCACTTTTGGCTGAAACTTTTCCAACCAACCAACCAACCATCTAATATCCATTATTCAAAGTGAACCGTGATGGCGAGCCACCTATAATGGTGGCCACATTGCAAATTTGACTGATAGAATTCAGTCTGCACCGAAGATAGGACTAGACACATTACACTAGTTACCAACTAGTGTCCAATCAGAAAAAAATACCCAATACATTCATACAGGAGGTCAATCGCGAACCCAAATAGCTCAATGGTAACGTCACTGACTGACTGCATCACTAGGTGATGTGTGTTCCAACCTCAGAAGGGAGATGAGTTCGTTCAAGGTTGCAGATACACCTAGCTAACTGCTGAGTGCCAAGAAGCACGAAACCTAGTTCAAGCATGGCTTCCTTCCGACTGCCTCCGACCACCTAATACCAAATCAATTTATACACTGTCTTCACTGATCTTTCAGGAGGAACATATTGATTTATGTATAGATCAGAATTTTAGTTGACCTGAATTCAGATGCCTTTCTTCTTCTTCACTAGGCCGCATACCTTCCATCCTCTCTTTCTGGTCCTAATATTGATCTTGTTTGCCACTTTTGAATTTATGTAGTTGAGACTTCGCTTATTTGACTGTCATACAAATGTAAAAAAATCAGCTAGAACTCCTTTTCACTTAAACAAAGAGGTTGAACTTTGCTCATTGGTTTCAAACTGAGTAGTTTTCTTGAGCTTTGGCAAATTTGATGTTATTCAGGCTAAGTCTATGCTTAAAGACCTTAAAATTCTTGTGTCACAAAGTGTGCTTGATTTTCTGTTATCTATTATGTTTGGAAAATTTGAAATTACACTGTACCTCAGTGTATTCTCATTAATGTCCTACACTGGTTGTTGTTCTGCGGTTAGGTTATGCTCATCATCTCTTCATTTTGACCAGACTGTTTTCTGGAGTGATTGAAGTAAGCTGGAATTTCTAATAAAACATGAGTTGACTGAAGATTACCTTGATCATGACTGATTTATTATTTTATTTTATTTAAACGCAGAAAAACTTGGTACAATATGGCACCAAGAAGATGCGCCACACAATAATAATAAAACAACATAGATTAAAAGTAAAAATATAGGTAGAAAACGGATAAAGAACTTCATCAGGAAGGAAAACAGTCATGTTTAACAAGTTCAAACAGTATTTGTTAACTATCATCAGGAAGGGAAGAAAGAAGGAAATTACAACACGTTCGCCATTGATTACGATTCTTGGCCATATCCGATAACGTTTCGAGCCATCGATTCCAGCTATCTCGCGGATCCCAACCAGGGAGCCGTGACACACCAACCGATGCTAATCTAGCACAAATATCCTTCATCCCACGACGCCACATCATGGACTGGCCACCCCTCCACCTTTTCCATCCCGTCCCAGGGCTAGCGAACAGAGACCTGTACGGAAGCCTCTGGGATGACATTCACAGCATATGTCCAAGCCACCGGAGCCGGTGTTTCCAGATGACGACACTCAATGAATGGTGATCTCCACTGTGTTCAAACACACGTCGCCGAACCTCAGAATTACTCACGCGATGATGCCATCGAACGCAAGCGGAGACAGCGATGATTGAACACGCAGAATCGCCGCACATCCTCAGCTCGGAGAGGCCAGGTTTCACAGGCGTAGAGCAAGACAGCCCGCACCGAAGCATTGTATACCCGACCTTTGACAGCCAGGCTAACGTCGCGATGGCGCCAGAGGTGGCACAAGTTGATGTATGCCACCCTATCCTTCATTATACGGTTGGAAATCTCATCCGTCACCCCTCCGCCAGCACTCACACAACTACCCAGGTACACAAACTTATCAACAACTTCAAGCGGTTCACCCGCAAGAGTGAGTGCAGGTCAGACTCCTGCCAATCTTGTAACAGTACTTTGCACTTAGACGGTGCAAAGCACATACCATACTTACAGACACTGATCGCCAACTGATTAAGTGCGATTTGGGCAGCATGCATGCTACCGCACAGTAAGACGATATCGTCTGCATACTCGAGGTCGAAAAGTCTATCTCCAGGTAGCAGATCTACACCACTTTCACGCACATCCTTCATAGCTGACTCCAGAATGTCGTCGATGGCAAAGTTAAAGAGAAATGGAGAGATTGGGCAACCCTGTCTAACCCCACTGTTGGTTGGGAACAGTGATGATAGTTGGTTGTACGCCTTCACTCTACCTGAGGTGTTTCTGTATAGGGCTTTCAAGATGTTAACAAATTTCTCAGGTACACCTCTCTCTAACAGACAGTTCCAGAGCACAGTTCTGTCCAACGAATCGAAGGCAGCCCTAATATCAAGAAACACAACGATCGTTGGCCTGCGATACATGTGGTGGTGTTCCAACAACTGACGAAGGGTGAACACATGATCAATGCATCCACGACCTGAACGAAACCCAGCCTGTTCTTCGCGAATCAATCACTCACGTATTTTGCACAGCCTGAGAAGCAAGACAGAAGCCAATAATTTAGACGCGACTGGTAGCAGACTGATACCCCTATGATTGTCATGACTGATGAAGATAACAAAATCCAAGACCGACAAGGCTTCCTATCCTTTGACATTCGAAATGCAACTATTTGTTGATAATAACCGACCTTTTCGACCTAAGTATAAAAAAATGTCAATCTATTCAGAATGAATCAGTTTTCCTTAGCATGATTTGCGGTAGCTGGAGTTTACTTGTTTACCTGTATTAAAGGGAGTTGCGATTTACCCTAACTATATAGTATATTTATACTTCATAATATACAAATATTCCATGTGAAAATATGTTTGACTAAGTCAAGCTTAGCGGTTTACTTATTACGTTTCATGCAAATAAAGCATTAAAACTCGACTTTGTTACATATCTTACTTATGTTTTGACTTTATTTTAGGATATTTACAATACCATTGTCTCAGCCGCTGCAGTTGCATCAGGCGTTCCATTTAATTTACCAGGTCCAATCCCTAGTCTGCCAGGAAGTTATCCTTTACCTCAACAACTTCAACCTTCTTCAAATGATTCACTTGCCCCAGGTTCAACAGCCCATTTATTGAACAGTGATGTAGGACCTTTCCACAGTGAAAGCTTACTTCATCATTTTCCACACAATCATACACAAACTACTCCTAATTATATGTCTAATTCAGTCGGCTGCCCTCCGTGCCATCCACCGAATTTATCCAATTCTGGAGTAATTCGCGATGAACCAAAATCAGATTCCCTTTATCCTCCAACTTATTTCCCTTCATCATCTTCTACTTCCTCCTCATCATCATCGATGTCCTCACAGCAAGTAACAAAACTGCCACTATATAATAATTGTTCTCCTACTGGGTCAATATTTTCATCCTCCGATCCAAGGGATTTTCATTTATCTCATTTCCTTGAAAGCGGTAATATGAAAGTGCACAGCAATTTATTTAGTCATCCTAACACTTTACCAATGGTAAGTAAACCAGCTTATAGTAGTCCATCAGGAATAAATTTCAGGAATTTACCACCGTCGATATTTGATGAATTGACATGCAGACCTAATTTAGTCTAAAGTATTGACTGACCAAACCACTTGGCACAGTAACAACAATATGTTAATTTAGTAAAACACTTTTCATTGAATATTTTTCAGAAATACCGTTAAAGACGGTCATATACTTCACTGGTTTCTTTATTCAGTCTCCTACTGATTTGTACATATATTTCCCTGGAGAAGATTATTCGGAAATGAATTAATTAGGATATCCACAAGAAGTTAATGTTTTCAAACAGAAAAAAACAAACAAACAGGCCAATAGATTATGTAAATACACTTATTCAGCTATTCACAAACAATTAGAAACTATTTCACATTTATTGTTTACCACCTTCCTCTAATGAATTCACTGAATACACTTGAAAAAGTAATAGTATGTGCATGTATGCATGAATGGATGTATGCATGTGTTTCTGAGCATATATCAAATTTTGAGTAGTTTTCTTTCTCTTTATTTCTTCTAAATTGTAAAGTATGGTTTTTTATGTGTTGTGATTTCGGCTGTAAACTGTGATGTAAATGACAAGATATGTCTGAAATATAAAGTAATTATTACATTCACTTGAGTTTCTATGACTTTTTCATTTTATTTTTATTCCTGTGCGTTGCCAGTGTAACATAGGGTTTCAAGCTAGAAGCTTGAAGTTTCGGTGGCAGGGGTGTTTATTTTTACGGGATGGGGTTGTTAGCCTCATAGCCAACCTTCCGTGTTTACCACTCTTAATACTGGCTTAGCGGGGTAAGGGAGTGTGTCAGACGGGGGTCGAATCCCGAACCACCTGCTCGGTTGCCGAGCATTCTACCGCTATGCCACCGACGCACCTAGAATCCACTTGGTGAATACATACTATCTTTCTCTTTCGGTTAACAAGCCAGGCAGTCGATTTATCCCTACGTGTGTCATTGGATGGACAGATCATCTAAGCAGAATTTCCAATCATCTGTGCTTATTTTTGAAGTATTCCATCTGCTTTTGATATGAACGAGAAGGGTTTTGCGGTTCACTTTCGATAATGCCTCCAAAACCTGATTTGGGCTGTTATAACCGGTACTAATAATAATGCTGTGAGTCATTGGTTGTTATTATTTTATTCCTATCCCTTACTAGTGGAACATAGGGCTTCAAATTAGGGGCTTGAAGTTTTTGTAGCAGTGATGTTCATTTTTAAGGGATGGGGTTGTCAGCCTCATGTCCAACCTTCCCTCTTTACCAGTCTTATTACTGGCTTCAGTGAGGAAAAGGAGTGTGTTGGCCGTCGGGATCGAGCATTCTACCTCTGTGCCACCGACACACTTGTATGACTACTCACTAGTCTTACGTAGACAGATTTGGATATATTATACCTATAATATCACTCAAGAATTTATCTGTCTGTTATTTTTTAATGATTCTATAGAGTTGATGTTGGTTTGTGCAGAATTCTTCTACTGGTAAGACTATTCATTCTATAAAGCAGTAAAATACCTTTTCATTATATTCCCTATATTAAAACTGGAAGCACTGATCACACAAGATTGAAAGTAAAATAAGACTTACATGTTACTGCCTCTTCTGAAGAGACTAAATATTCTTATCATTATAGAAATGTGCAACAAATGGACTTATCATATATTTTTATGTACAAGAAAGCGAATGGGATATCAGTTACATCCCGTTTAGTTTAATATATTTATTTTATGTTCCAAGTGGAACAGAGGGCTTCAGCCTAGAGCTTTAAAGTTCTAGTAGCAGTGGTTTTATTTTTACAGGATGGGATTGCTAGCCTCACTCCAAACCTCCCTTCTTTACTGGCTTAGCGGGATTTAAGAGTGTTTCGGTCAGGAATCAAACCCAGACGCACGTGGGCAGTTGGCGATCGTTCTACTGCTGAATCAACGACGCACTACGCAGTCAAGCCTTATTCACCAGACCAACTGGACCATGTACAAGAAAGAGAGTGTACTTCAGTTATATCCAGTTTAGTGATGATCATCCCTAATCAGCATGAAATAATTCAAACAAATAACGCTTTCATTTTAGGCGAGTAGAATAAAACATCAACAGCGAAAGAACAACAACAGAAAACAAGCACAACCTCTATATTTTATAGGAAGTTATTTTATTAATTACTATTCATCCCTTGCGTTCCGACTGAGACATAACGCTTCAACAGTATTTCTTCAGTGCATTTAGTTCTCTGTCATCCCGAAGAGTTAGAATAGTAGAATTACGATCAAATTGGAGACATTCATGTATTTATTAGAAGAGGAATACTTGCATACTTAAAAGTGAATTCAAGCATAAGCGGAAGTGATTACGCAATCAGCTTTATAAAGACCTTTGCTACTACTTACAGATACTTTAAATGAAAAATCTGTCTTATAAATAAATTTAGCAGGAATTAGCAAATGGTCTTCGTCTAACGGCCTTAAACTTAATCCTTCCAAATGTCAGAATGTTAAATACATTTTCCGATGTAATAGAAAGTTAAATGAAGCTGTTGGTTCCTATGACCGTTGCAAAATTGATGATACTGATATAGAAATCAAGTCTGAAGTTAAACTATCTTGGATTAATTCTTTCTTCTGACCTATCCTGATCTTCCCATGTCTTAGCGATTTCTAAAAGAATATTTCGTCTGACTTTTTACATCAGGAAGAAGTTAAGGCACTCAGGCATAACTCAACCACTCCTCCTCCTACAGTTTGTCAACTCGTGCATCTTACCTATTCTTCTTTACTGTTCACCCTTATTCTTTCCTGGATTGCTTAAAAAATATGACTATGTCATACTTCGTAGAACTCTGAAAACTGACTGTCAGTAGGGCGAGTGGTATCCCATTGGGCCATATCGTTGACATCGTCATTGACGATGGGAATTTGATTTCATGCAACAAATTTGCTAAAGGAATCTTGTCAGACTATGAGCACCCACTTTACCCACAGCTCCAACCTTGTGTCTCCTGAGGTAAAACAAGAAGTCGTTTCAGAAGACTTTATGCACGTACGTCAAGTATAAAAATTCCACTATACCATATTTAGCACGTACTTTATGTGACGAAAAATAGTGTCAGAAATGAACTAACTAACCTTCTTAGCACCACTTTATAAACCATTTCCTTCACCCTTAAAGCATCATACTTTATTGTTATTGTATTTCTTATATTTATAATCCTCTCAATTCTTTCGTTTTGCTTATTTTTTTCTTCATAAGTGTGAACATCATTTAAGCTGTACTATGACTGTTAATTTTGTATTTCCCCTCACTATACTATATCAACAGAACATTAGAACCAATGATCTATAACATGCTAAAGTTTCCAAACTGAATCGACAATACCGTTTGAAACAAACTCACTGTTATTATTATTATATTTAATCATTATGCCGTAAATGTGAACAAATTCCTCCGGTTAATTTTGTTTAAATTTTCAATTTTATATATATTTTGAGTAAATCAGATGCAATATTATGACAAATAGTGAGAATTCCATTTTGTATTATAAGTACTGTTTTTGGAATAAAGTAAATTATTATTATTATTATTGTTATTTATTTACTAACAAAACAAACGCAATTTTAAATCTGGCTACTTGAACATGCACACAGCTTTAGTTTTTCTTCAAGTGGAACTGAAGTAATAAGTGACGATTAGGATGGCGTTATAACATAAACTGGATACAGGGTGTTTCGTGTTATACCAATCAATAGGTGGGTTACTTTCAATTTTTATACAGACAAATGAATACCTGTCTACTTTTTGATAACTAAAAGATAAATTTCTAACTTGGAGACGTTGCTTTAGTATGTGATTAGATGTGTACCTGGTTGAAATATAAAAAAACACTTGTCTAGGAAGTATCGTTTCAACTACAGGCAGTCGGAAGGGATGAAGACGTCAAAGCCGGCCAGAATTGTAAAGGCAAGATAGACCTTTATCACTCTGAAATCAGTCTGGAAATCTTCTGCACTCAGCATAAAGAACAAGATTAAGATTTTCAACACCATTATGGGTCTGAAACTTGATACAAGTGTCATGAAAGGCATTCCAAACTAATAGCTGCAGACTTTTGTCAACAGCTATATTCGCTGGTTCCATACTGAAAAGCAAATGAGCAGAAAGAATTATCAACAAGAAACTATGGGAGCAAACTAGCCAAGAACCGACCGCTCTGCAAATATCCCAAGGAAAATGAAGATGGACTGGGTATACACTGAGGAGACCGTTAAATAACATCGCCTGGTAGACCAGTCCTAGAGTGGAAAGTGAATGGAAAACGGCGAGTTAGGCATTGGTCCAAGGGTGAAATGGAGGAGGTCGTGTGGGGAAGGGATGAGAGATTATGGGCAATCGTGAACCCTACTAAAGAGGACAATAGAAAATAGAACAAAATGGCGATTTGTTGTTTAAGCCTTATATTCCACGCGGAACCAAAGGGAAAAAAATAATAATTTCTGAAACCTAATATAGAATAATAAATGTGTCAAGGATAAATTGTGCATACGATACTTAGAAACAATCAGTTATACTAAATATTCTTTAACGGTTATCAGAGCTGATACTTGTACATCAAGTGTTGTTGATTCTACATTAAAAACGCTTCTGAATTCACAAGAAATTGCATGTATGGTTAACAACTGTTCAATAGGATTAAACTGTTACAATTTGTTAGTGATATCAGATACTAGTGAATTTTAACTCGTCAAGTGAATATGATCAAAATTTTGCTTATTCAATGTATATTAGATTTATATCACAAGACCAAGTGCATTAACTCATTCCAATCATGAAACAGTATATTTAAGATTGAGAGAAGACCAGTAGTTCAACGAAGAGTCTCTTTTAGGTGAATTCATTTTCACAGCTGTACAATAGCAAATATTTTGATGAAGTTGTGTTCTCTGAGCTGGATAGTCTGTTTGCTAAGCTTTCATTGCCCTACTAGGCAACATCTTCAGCGCATACTTCAATCGCAAATATATACATGGATTATTTTGTATCTATGTGTACAATAAATTTGTCAAACAAAAATACAATTGGTTATGGTTATTTTAACTAAACAGGTGAGAATTGGTAGAGGGTAGTAACAAAAGCGATAAGTTGTCACAAATGATTGTTAAAGAAGAGTTCCGTAATAACATGAATAGTTTGATGAAAGAGTTGTGCCCAGGGTGGACATGGGTACAAAATAAAATACGGAATTACGTAAGACTTTTAAGTAGTTAGAAAAACAAGCAAAAAAGCAAAAGTTAAGTCAGATGAACAGAGTTGTTACAATGATAGTGGAAGTGGCTGAATAATTTTCTTTTGTATGCATAGTTCTGGTTTTTCCAACCGTGAATGGCTAGGGCTTCTGCAATGCGAAGAAGACGGAAACCTATTGTCTTTGGCAGGATGTTCTTTATTTTGTAGGTTACTTTGAAGCTGGAGGCGTTTGTTGAGGTGGAATGATCACTGGCGACGAGATGTTCAATTATCATATCCTATTGTCATCTTAGATTTTTCACCTTTAGTCAATTGGT